CAACCAGGAGCTGTTGGCTGCTGCAGGTCCCATGTAGATCCCTGGCAGGGTGCGCAGTTCGCAAGCGCACCGCCTCGACCTGGCGTGGCGCCCGCTATGCCAATCCTGAGTACACCACTCCGTATCCCGAACAAGTGTGACATCTAATCTTATACAACTCGGGGGCACAGCAACGCATACGGGAGGGTGCGGAAACATCCCGATCAGTGTAGGCCAGGCACATTTGACGAAGTATGAAGGTAAACTCTGGTTGTTGTAAATGGTCCTTCTATTTTTTACAAAAGGGATCTCAATTTTTTGCTACCTACTACCTTGGCCTTGGCCTTCCTTGGCCACGCGCGTAGCTTTTCAATCAAACTTGAACCCACCCAGCTCTTGCTGGAGTGCATGCCATCAATATCTTTTGGGCCAGCCCAAAACTCTTGCGAGTTCATGCCATGTACGATAGTTCCACCCACTTGGAGGCCACAATTCAATCCGATGGGTTCGTCTTTCAAGCCCCAACTATGGAAGGCGGAGGGTTGAAATCAATGCGCCAAGCGATCGAAATGTCCCCGTGCGCAGAACGCTTGCCATCCTAGGGTGGAGACCAGAACTTGTGGTCCGAAGGCGATCCATAATTCCTCTCAAACACGCGCTTGCTTCAGACCGCGGATCTCTCCGAAAAGCGCCTCATCGCGGGACGACGTCCTGGAAAAGCCAGCGTCCAGATGGCCCTGCAGCTAGAAACGTCAATACTCGAGCCGAGGGGCGAGAGGTCAGTGTGTCTAGCGCAACCAACCAACGTCTGAGATGTGAGTTGAGGACAGATTATCCTTCGAGGAGCCACCGGCTCTCATGGACTCCGATCGCCTCCAAGGACAGCGCCGTCAGCAGCGCGTGCCAGTACATCACCCCCAACAAAGGAGTCCCCCACAAACTGCGCCCGACCTCTGACCAGCGTCCACAGCGCCTGCTCCTTCTTCGGAAACACATCGTCAAAGGGTACGGATGCCACCGACCGTGGAAGTGCAGCAGAAGTCCAGGAGTGTCAAAGCCATCGGCCAAAGGAAGCCAGCTCAAGCTGCTCACGCCAGGTGATTCTCAGCGCGAGCCGCCAAAGGCCGTGGTTGCCACGGCGCAGACACCGTGTACCATCGCCGGCCAAAGCTGCCACGCAAGAGTTAATTTTGCAGAATCCAGACCGCGTGAGCTTGTTGTTTTCGTCCGAGCTACACACCGCCAATGCTTGCGGACAGCAGCCTCCCCACTGCCCACTATGCGATGGAAAATCTTCCTGTATAGCATAGCCAGTGGCGGAAGAGGCAAAACAGCCCCATCTCTCCACACTCCAGCCCCAGTGCGGCCCCAGGTAACCTAATAGTTAGGCGTCTTGTGAATAAGTGGCAGTCAGCGAAGACCCCGAAACCTACTCTATCCAGGGACTTACATCACCGAAACGCCATTGAACATCGCCCAGACTCAGTCGAATATGATGCTGAGCGCTTGGAGACATAGATTTGGAAATGGAAACGTCAGTTTCCTTCTCAGAAAGGTCGCGTGTAAACAAAAACCGCGCTTGTGAAAATATATTGAAGGTCAGAAGCTAAGAAAGAACTGAGTACTGATGCTGACCTTATGGCCCGGCAGGAGCAGATCACACCGTAAGGAACTCGATGTCGTCGACGGGCTCTTGAGCGGTCTCGAAATAGAAATTCACCGGCGGAAAAGAGGCGCTCGCGCTTGTCACCTTGCAAGATTTTAAGGAACCAGTGGAAGACGGTGAGCAGAACTTTGCGGGGGCTTCTCAGCGGCTTTCGCAGAGAATCCTCGCGGGTGCGGCTGCAACGGCTTGAAGGTCTGACGTTCGATGAACAGTTGACGAGCCAAGGCTGGTTTGGGACTTGAAGAGACTCAGTGCCTTGACTCGAAAGCTCATGAGGAGACCTCCGAGATTGAGACATGGCAGACTTGAACACGGTCTATGGTTGGCTTCAGGCTCGGAATATTTCGAATTTGCAGGTCCCACCTTTGATTCAACCCAAAGAACTTGTGGCGAGATGACTTGCGCAGCAGAAGTTCGGGCAGTGACGTCTGGCATGGACTCTGCGTTCGGGATCGCTCTGCCGACGAATTAAAGTGTGGCTGGCCAGACGGGGGAGAGCCGCTTCAAGTTGGATGCCATGTCAGTGCTCCACTCAATGTCCAGGTCAGACACAAACCTCTGAGTGAGAATGAACCACTGTCACGTTGCTTGGTGGAACAGGTGCCCAGACTCCGTCTTTTGGACACGATCGAGTGGGTGGACATGCGTGACATGGCCGCGTGGCCGCAGACGGGCTCAGAAAGGGCAAGATCGATCAAGCACTTCGAATGCGCGGCTGCGGTTGTCTCAAGTCCCAATGCCTGAATATTGGGTCTATTGTGTCATTGGCCGGGGCAATTGATTTTTGTCAAGCTAATAGGAAACACCCGACTTGACAGGTATGACAGCTAAGGCCCCTCATGGGTCCACGCCAATGGCTCAAGAATTCCTATCCGGATAGTCGCATGAAACCACAAACACTCAGAAAAAACAACTTGTTGCACTCAGCTTGCTTCACTGTTTTTCCACAGTTGTCGAGGTTCCTTAGGACACCATATTTTTTCAGTATATGCACGATGTGTTGTACTTGGCCTTGTTGATTCCAAGGTCGCCCGAGAACTTCAGCTTGGCAGATTACTTGCTGCTGGGCTTGGCTGCTCCGAAAGGTCTTCAAAACTAATGACAGCAGTTGAACTTTGCGCCCTACATGCAATCAAGCGCCCCACCTAGGTTGCAATTGTCTTTGGCAGATGTGATCTTTCACTACAGGCTAGGCCAAGAGATCTTGGGGGATTTGGGCTGGCGATCGCATCATCCACATGAATCATCATGAGCACTGCTAGTTTTCACCGCAGGTATCCCCATGCTGTTCTAACAGCTGCAGCTTTGTTGCTTGCTCTGTCGTGCACTGGCGCCGCATCAGCTGCTCACGGAGTGTTTCGGCAGCATATTCCGAGGTTTGTTTGGTTTATTTCAGACTCATCAGAGGGCCGCAACACTAGGCGGACAATCGAACCACTACCCCACCCCTGCAGTTAAGGGGATGAGCTAGGGTGTGGACCATTAAAGCGCAACAACTCAGACTAATCACTTGAGCGCTCCTTGTTTGGAATACTTTGACCTTGACTTTCAGTCTCAGTTTTTCAGAATATCTTTCATTGCAGCTGTTCATGTTCTTTTCTCCTGAGCACACGCGCACCCACACGCACACACACACACA